GAGGGGGAGGGAGAGAGAGAAGAGGGAGCGGAGAGGGAGAGAGAGAGCGAAGAGGGAGAGAGCGAGAGAAGGGAGAGAAAGAGGGGGAGCGGAGAGGGAGAGAGAGAGCGGAGAGGGAGAGAGAGAAGGGGGGAGCGGAGAGGGAGAGAAGAGAGAGAGAGGTGAGGGAGAGAAGAGAGAGGGACAAAGGAGAGAGAGAGGGGAAAAGGAGAGAGAGTGGGGAAAGAGAGGAGAGAGAGAAGCGAGGGGGGCAGGGAGAGAGAGAGAAAGGAAAGAGAGGGAGGAGAGAGTGAGAGAGGAGGGATAGAGAGAGAGTAAAGAGAGAGGAGATAGGGGGAGAGAGAGAGAGAGAGAGAGAGAGAGAGGAAAGGGAAAGTGAGAGAGGAGAGGGAGAGAGAGAGAGAGAAAAAGAGGAGAGGGAGGAAGGAGAGAGAGAAGTGAGAGAGAAAGAGAGAATGGGGAGGGAGAGAGAGAGAGCGGAGAGGGAGAGAGAGAAAGGGGGAGCAGAGAGAGATAGAGAGGAAAAGGAGAGAGAGTGGGGAAAGAAGAGGAGAAAGAGAGGAGAGGGGGAGAGAGAGAAGAGGGAGAGGAGAGAGAATAAGAGAGAGGAGAGACAGAAACAAGGGGGCAGGGAGAGAGAGAGAAAGGGGGAGAGAGAGAGAGGAGAGAGGGGAGGAAGGAGAGAGAGGAGAGAAGAGAGAGAAAGAAAGGAGAGACAGATGGGAGAGAGTAGAGTTGAAAGGGAGTGAGGCGAGAGAGGGGAGAGAGAGAAGAGATATAGGGAGAGAGAGAGGAGAGAAGAGGGCAGCTCCAACAGCATGTTAATGGCTTAATATGTACTGGAAAGATTGTTACAAAGTTGCAGCCTGATCACTGGGGGAGACTAAGGAAATGCTTCCTCCTGCCTGCAGCAGACTGATGACATCATCTCGGCCTAGACAAAGTCACCGATAAGAAGCAAAGGTCGTCTTTTTAGTGCTAGAAGGTGTTGAATGTGTGATAATTGATACATTTGCGGTGTATAGTAACACATCTGTATGAGTGACACATTTACACGGACCTGTACATCTCAGGGATCCTCGTTATCGTGTCCGTTCCATAGAGCTGATATTGGGACTTTATTTGCCATAAAAGTTAACAATCAACTTTATAAATCAGAGCCGATAGGCCGGAATATTCTGTCTGTGGCTATCAGTGCCACTTGTGGATGGAATGATCGGGTCGGGTAATTAGTAACCTGTTATAACGAGGTTCCTGATGTGTGCGATCACCTCCGGGCCCATCGATCGAGGCGGTTAATGTACAAACCCGCCTCCATTATTTGCTCGGCATTGAGGCGCCGGGTTCAGGGAGAGGTGACATTAACAGGTATTGTCAGTGTGAGGTGGGGAAAGCCATCATAGAACAATGACAGCGGCTCAGATACAAGCGGCGGCTCCAATCCCAGCCCATGTCACTGTCTGCTTAGCTGTGACCTACTAGAGTGCAAGCTCTGCAGCCCAGGAAAGAGCAGAAATCCTCCTCCTCCTGAGCTCATTGTCTTCCTTCAACAGCCATGAAATGATTTTTTTCCAAAAGCAGTCTGTGCTGTTTATGGTGAATTCAGCCGAGATGGGGCTTGCAGTGGCTGCTCCTCCTGCACTAGAATGCCCAAAGCGACCAATCAGAACTCTTGTTTAATCTTTCCATAAATATGAAAGGTGAAATGTGATTGTTCGCAACTCTTGTTTTCTTTTATCACGTCTGAATGGCTCAACGTCTATATGTGTCAACATAACCTCAGTTGACATGGGAGAGAGATGTGGCTGCAGCTCCCTCTAGTGAGCACAGGCAGGTATTGCAATAAACTGACACCGGCTCCAGTTTGGAAGGAGGTGGTGGAGGTGATGGTAGGGTGGGGGGTTGGTGGTGGAGGTGATGGTAGGGTGGTGGTGGAGGTGATGGTAGGGTGGGGGG